CAGTCAGAGAAGAAAAAAGAATAAATAAGTCCTACAAGAATTATGAGGCACTATTATGAATAATGGGAGTTCCTGAAGAAGAGAGAGAAAAAGGCACAAACAGCATATTTAAGGAAATAATGGCTGAATGTTTTCCAAATCTGAGGAAAGATGGCAACATCCAGGTACGGGAAGCTCAGAGATCTTTAATCAAATTTAATTTAAGAGTTCACAATCAAATTATCAAAAAAAAAAAGATAAAGAATACTGAAAGCAGCAAGAGGTAAGAAATATACTACGTTTAAGTGAGTCCCAGTATGGCTATCAATGATTTTCTTATCAGAAACCCTGCAAGCCATGAGAGAGTGGGATGTATATTCAAAGTGCTAAAGGAAAAAACCCACTAGCAAAGAATACCATACCCAGCAAAGCTATATTTCAGACATGAGGGAAATATAAAAAAATGAAGAAATAAAAAACTTCCCCAAACAAAAGCTAAAGGAATTTATCGCCACTCGGCCCATTCTACAGGAATTGCAAAAGGAAGTTCTTTAAGCTGAAACAAAAGGCTGCTAATTAATAACATAAAGCATGAAAGTAAAAAACGTAATAGTATAAGGAATATATGGTCATATTCAGAATTCTCTACTATTGGAAGGGTGGCATGTAATGCAATTTAATCTTTGCTATGAGAGTTAAAATATGAACTATTAAAAACAACTGTGCAATAAATTATTAAGAGATACAAAATAAACCCATGCATTTATAGTCAATTGATTCTTGACAAAGGTGGTAAGAACATACAATGGGAAGAAAACAGTCTACTCAATAAATGGTGCTGGGAAGACTGGTTATCCACATGCAGAAAAATAAAATTAGACCCTTATCTTACACCATGCACGAAACTCAACTCCAAATGGATTAAAGACTTAAACATAAGACCTGAAACTATAAAATTACCAGAAGAAAACACAGGAGAAAAGCTCCATGACATTGGCCTGGCCAAGGATTTTTTGGATACAACTCCAAAAGCTCAGGCAACAAAAGCAAAAGTAGACAAATGAAATTGCATCAAACTAAAAAGCTTTTACAAAAAGCAAATTAATTAATTAACTAATTAACAATTAACAAAGGGAAGAGATAACTCACAGAGTGGGAAAAAATATTTGCAAATCATACATCTAATAAGGGGTTAATATTCAAAATATATAAGGAACTCAACAGCAAGAAAACCACCCACCCAATTTAAAAACGAACAAAGGACCTGAACAAATGCGTCTCAAAGGAAGACACACAAATGGCCAACAGCTTTATGAAAAAATTCTCGGCGGCAATAATCACTAGGGAAATGCAAATTAAAACCACAATGAGTGCCACCTCACGCCTGTCAGAATGGCTTTTACAAAAAAAGATGAAAGATAAAGTTTGTTGGCAAAGAAGGGGAGATGAGGGAACCATGCACACTGTTGGTGGGAGTGTAAATTGGCACTGCCATTAGTTTCCTCAAAAAACTAAAAATAGAACTACTAGGCGATCCAGCAATCCCATTTCTAGGTATATATCCAGAAGAAATGAAATCAGGATGCCAAAGAGATATCTTCACTCCCACGTTCATGGCAGCACTATTCACCATAGCCAAGATCTGGAATCAACCTAAGTGCCCATCAACGAATAAACAGGTTAAAAAAAAAAAAGTGGTATAAATACACAATGGAATGCTACTCAGCCTTAAAAAAGAATGAAATTCTGTCATTTGGGGCAACATGGATAAATCTAGGGGACATTATGCTAAGTGAAATAAACCAATCACAAAAAGGCAAATACCACATGATATTACTTATATGTGAAATCTAAAAAAAAGTTGAATTCCTAGAAGTGGAGAATAGGATGGTGGTTACACAGGCTGGGGGGAGGGGAGACAGGATGGGGAATTGCCAGGGGCAGAGTTCCCGCCGTACAGAGGAATAAGTTTTGAGACGTATTGCTCAGCAGGGCGGCTACAGTCAAGGAAAATGTATTGTATATTTAAAAATAACTAAGTGTAAATTTCAAATATGTCACCACCAAAAATCTTAAGTGAGGTGATAAATATGTTAATTAGCTTGATTTAATGATTCCACATTGTATACATGTATCAAAACATCCCATTGTTCTCCCTAAATGTAATATAATTAGGACCAATTAAAAATAATTTTAGGCTAGGTGTGGTGGCTCACGCCTGTAATCCTAGCACTCTGGGAAGCCGAGGCAGGAGGATTGCTCAAGGTCAGGAGTTCAAAACCACCCTGAGCAAAAGCAAGAGCCCATCTCTACTAAAAATAGAAAGAACTTAATTGGCCAAGTAAAAATATATAGAAAAAATTAGCCGGCATGTGGTGCATGCCTGTAGTCCCAGCTACTTGGAGGCTGAGGCAGGAGGATGCTTGAGCCAGGAGTTTGAGGTTGCTGTGAGCTAGGTGATCCACAGTACTCTAGCCCGGGCAGCAGAGCAAGACTCTGTCTCAATAATAATAATAATAATAATAATTAATTAAAAACTTATGTCAGGGTTTTGACTGGAATTGCATTGATTTTATAGATTGATTTTATAGATTGATTGGAGACAACTGTATTTCTATTTAATAACATTTAGCCTTCCTATCTCTCCATTTTCTTTTAACATCTCTAAATGAAGTTTTATAATTTTCCCATCTGTTGTGAGGCAATCCTATAGAACTTTTCCATACTTTAGTAGCGGCATTGGGACTGTACGCATTTGTCAAACTTGCAAAATGGAGTGAATATTACTTTGTGCAAATGAAACTTAATCAAAAGGTTTTTGAGGCTAGGCGGCAAGATTGTGTAAATAAATAGTCACTGACCTAAAAGAATCACTTCTGCCACGCAGAAAGCCGAGAACATCGCGACTTACGACACAGAAGTCTCAGATGGGCCAGTGCGTCCAGATCTGACTATGGGACCCGACTGCGCAAACCTAGGGGCACTGGGGTGGGACGCAGGTGCTGCCACGCGCTGTGCCCCGCCTGGGTGCCGTCACGTGTCCGGCTCAGCGCCCTCACCTCGTGCTGTCACCCTGTGGTGCCAGTCATGTGTCCCTCAGGGCGTGCTGTCACCTGTTGGTGTCAGTCATGTGTCAGGATTCAGGCGCAGCCCGCACCCGCGGGTGCGTTAGGGGGTCCTGGGCTGGCGCAGTCGCGTGCGGGAGGGAGTCACCTGCTGGGGCGCACTCACGTCCTGGGCATTGTCAGTGACGGGGCACAGTCACCTGCTGGGGGCGCAGTACATGCCCCGGAGATGCTGCCCGCAGGCTGGGGCGCGTCCGCGTCACGTGCTGGGGGCACGGACTCCGGCCTCATGGCTTTGCCCTGGCTTGCTGCTGCTGCTGCTGCTCGCGGGACCCCCACTCGGCTCGCTGCTGCGGCTGACGGGCACCCCGAGAGCAAGTGGATCTCCCTGAGTGGCAACACGGGTAGGCCTGGGCCCTTCGCCTCGTGGGGACGGCGCCTCGGGCTCCCAGCTGGGCCTATCCTCGGCGTCCCGCCCCTCCACTCGCACCCTCCCCTCCCTCCTCCCTCCCCCCGCCCAAGCCCTCGCCCTCTCTCCCCGCAGCTGTGGCGGGCGGTGCCGCGGAAGGGAGGGTGCCAGTGGGCGGCGCCCCGGCCGCGAGAAGAATGGCCGTGGCAGGATCAGCCGTGCAACATCTTCGGTTAACAACGTCTTGCGGCGGCCTCCATCATCACCAGAGTACTGGGTGAGTCGGCTGCGCACTGCTTCGACCGTGAAGGGGCCGACGGGCCCCGACGGCCCGCGGCGGCCCGCCCCAGAGCTCGGCCCGGCTCCCGAGTGCTCAGCCTCGGCCCCACGCGCCGGCCCGCTCCCGCGCGCGAGGCCGCCCCCAGAGTCGGCCGGGCTCCCGAGTGCCAGCCTGGCCCATGCGCGCCTCCGCTCCCGCGCGGAGGCCGCCCAGGCTCGCGGGCTACCCAGTGGCCGCCTGCCCAAGCGCGCCCGCTCCGCGCGGCGAGGCCGCCCCCCAGAGAGCTCGCCGGTCCCGAGTGGCCAGCCCGGCCAATGCGCGCCCTGCCTCCCCGCCGCCGGCGCCAGAGCTCGGCCGGCTCCCGAGTGCGCACCCCGGCCCCAACGCGCCCGGCCCCGCCCCCGCGCGCGAGCGGCCAGAAGCTCGCCGGGCCCTGGAGTGCCAGCTTGGCCCCCAACGCGCCGCCGCCTCCCGCGCGCCGAGCCGCCCAGAGCTCGGCGGGCTTCCGAGGGCAGCCTTGGCCCCAACGGCGCCCGCGTCCCCGCGCGCGAGGCCGCCCAGAGCTCGGCCGGCTCCCGGAGTGCCGCGGCCCCCAATCGCCGCCTGCTCCCCGCGCCGCAGGCCGCCCCAGAGCTTCGGCCCGGCTCCGGAGTGGCCAGCCCGAGCCCCCCAACGCGCCGCCCGCTCCCGCGCCGTAGGCGCCCCAGAGCTCGGCCGGGCTCTGAGTGCCAGCTTGGCCCAACGCGCCGCCGCTCCCGGCCGCAGGCGCCCCAGAAGCTCGGCCGGGCTCCGAGTGCCAGCTGCCCCCAACGCGCCGCCCGTCTCCCGCGCGAGGCGCTTCCCGAGCCACGGGCTTGTCCCATGCGCACGCGCAGCCTCGTTCACGCGCTGCCCGTGCACGGTCGTCGGCGCGCGAGGCTGGTCCCCAAGCACAGGGCCCGTCCAGAAACGCACAGCCGCCCCCCAGCTGCCCTGCGCCCAGAGGCTCCGCTCCCCTGTGGCCATCTGCCCTTGCCAGGTGTCCTGGGTGAGAGAGAGAGAGAGTCCCACCTGCCGGGCTGCTGGAGCCCGTTGGTCTCTGGAGCCTCCATGGGCCCCAGGCAAGCCTCCTTGGGGCAGTTCTGCCTGATGGCCAGGTAAGCCCCCACTGTGCTTCCAGCGGGGGACTGGCTTTGAGCCCAGGCGGCCCCTCCCCGGGCCCCCCCAGGGCCGGTGCGCTGGTGCCGGGGGAGCTGCAGGCATTGTGCTTTTGTTCTGGCCCCTGCAGGGGCAAAAGCGTTAAGGCTTTGGACATGTACGTGGGCCTCGTGAACCTCAAGGTAGCCGGCAGCCACACCCAGTGGTTCGAGGTGAACAAAGTGATCCGGCACCCCACGTACCAGTTGCAGCACCCCATCGGAGGCGACGTGGCCCTGGTGCAGCTGAAGTCCCCCATCGTGTTCTCTGACTTCGTGCTCCCCGTCTGCCTCTCACCTCCAGAAATGAACCTCACCGGACTTTCACTTAATTGTTGGGTCACCGGATGGGGGATGGTCTCACGGGACGGTAAGAACAAAGCCAAAGGGCAGGGGGGCAATTCCTTTATTGCGGTTTGTGGACCGGTGGGGATGTGGATCAACGGTGGATCAATGTGGATCAATCAACGTTGTTTTTGTCTGTCAATGTGGACTTTTTGTTTTATCCCAGACTGGCTCTGTTGTATGCAGAAAAAATGATGACCGCTGCTTTGAGTGTGAAATTGGAAAGCAGTACTTCAAGAACACAAGTTTATAAGCATAGTTATTCGTAAAATTTTAAATTCAATTTAGAAATCTTTTAGCCTATTGAAAAAAAATTAGTTACTGTACTTGTCCCCTTAAAGGCCTGTGTTTTCTTTCTAGGTTTATACCTGGGCACTTGAGAATATTTAGGGCCATTCAAAAGAGATTTTTTTAAGTTGCATTTGTTAATCAGTCACCACTGTTTATTTCTGCACATGGATCTCGCATCTAGCCATCTTACAGAACTCGTTTTTAATAGTTTGTCAAATGATTATTTTGACGGTTCTAGATCAAAGATCATATTTTCTTCAAATAAAGACTGTTTTATGACTTCTTTCTTTCCCCATATTTTGTCTTTTATTTTTCTTGTCTTCTTGCAGTGGTTGGAATGATGCTAGCTTTCGTTTTCTTGTATTTGATCGTATTGGAAATGCTTCTAATGGTTTCCTATTAAGTTGTGTCCTGGCCTGGAGGTTTCAGGTTGAAATATAATTACAACAGGTTAAGAAAGTTACCCTTTATAGGTGGTTTACTGAATTATTTAAAAATTTATAAATCAGTATAGATTTTATGGAAGCACTGGTAGCAACTCTTGAGAGGGTCATATAGTTTTATTCTTTTAATCTGTCGGTGCCAAGAATAGGTATTTCCTGTGAAAGGCCCTTGAGCTCAAAACCAACCAGCCCAAAAACCTCCTCTTGCAGACTTTCCGGATTGGCTCCGTGCCAAGGCACTTCTTCAGCAGCTAGTCAGGCTTACAGGAGCCTGGATTGGTCGGTCTGAGGTGCAAGCTGGGGTCTTCTCAGGTTCTCCTCTGAGCACGTGTCCTACCCTGGGCATGTGCATGGTCCTCGAAATTCCCCCAAGAACAGGGGTGCTCTTGAGTGTCCTCCCTTCCCTAAGAGACTGTCCCCAGCTCTTGCTGCTGGGCCTTAGGCAGCCTGTTGTGTGTTCTGCCTGTAATCTATCGCCCTGCGCCTTTGCGGGCCGTCAGTGTGGCTTGCGCAGGTTCTGAGCGGTGCCCACCACTTTTCCAGCCTGACTTCCGAGTTAGGCAAAACGGAGGCGAGTGGCTTGTGCCAGTCCTGCAGGGAGCTCCCCAAGACAAGTGAGGACGGACATGCACAGTAATTTGCACATAAGGTCTACTCCGCTCCTTCTGGAACCGGAGCCCAGTGCTCTGCCCTGGGAATAGGGTCTCCCTCTTCAAGGCGATGCTGCGCTGTGCAGAGAACAAGCGAAGACACCACAAAGCTTTTCTTCCATCTTGAAGTTGTCTTTTTTCGAGTCGGCATTCCAATGGTTGCTATGAGCCTTTAACTGTTCCAGAGTTCTGAAAAAGCTGCTTCTGACAGTGTCTGCTTGGTTTTCAGTGTTTCTGTGGGGGAACAAGAGGTTGAGGCTCCGACTCTTGCTATTTTTCTCGCCTTCTGGGATTGTTATCAGGATGGCATTAAATCTACAGGCCAATTTTGGGAATCTTAACAATATTGACTCATCCAATCCATGAATATGGGATATGTCTTTTTTTATGTAGATCTTAATTTCAGCAATATGTTGCAGTATTTGGTTGTGCAGGTCTTATACATCTTCTGTTAAGTTTATTCCTATTTTATTATTTTTGGACCTATTGTGAATGGGATTTTCTTAATTCCATTTCTGGTTGCCTTTCTCTGTCTTGCTTCATTATACTGGCTACGGCCTCCACTGCAGTGTTCGATGTAAGTGGTAATAGTGGGTGTCCTTGCCTGGTTCCTTATCTTAGTGGGAGAAAACAGTCTTTCACCATCAAGAATGATATTAGCTGTGGGTTTTTCGTGGGTACTCTTTAACAGATGAGAAAGCTTTCCTTTGTTCTTGGTTTTTTGAGAGTCTTTATCATAAATAAGACATGGATTTTTTTTTTCTAATGCTTTTTCTGCATCTATTGAGATGTTCATGTGGCTTTTTTTTTCAAGACAAGATCTTACTCTGTTGCCCAGGCTGGAGTGCAGCGGTATGATCATAGCCCACTGCAGCCTCCCACTCCTGGGCTCAAGCAATCCTCCCACTTCAGTCTCCTGAGTAGCTGGGACTACAGGCACACACCACCATGCCTGGCTAATTCTTTTTATTTTTTGTAGAGATGGGGGTCTCACTATGTTGCCCAGGTTGGTCTCAAACCCCTGGCCTCAAGTGATCCTCCCACCTCGGCCTCCCAACATGCTGGGATTACAGATGGGAGCCACTGTGCCTGGCCTCCCATAGCTTTTTAACTTTTACTTTATTAATACAGTGTGTTACCTTGATTGTTTTTTGGATATTGAGCCAACTTTGCATTCCTATAATTAATCCTTCCTGGTCATTGTGTATAATACTTTTTATAGGTTGCTGGAAATAGTTTGCTCACACTTGTTAAAGTTTTTGCATCTATATTTATGAGTTATATTGGCTGTATTTTTCTTGTTACAGTTTTGTCTGATTCTGGTATCAGAGTAATATGTGTTTTTGTAGTATTGCTGTTTCTCCCTTAAATATTTGATAGAATTCACTAGTGAAGCTACCTGGGCTTGGCCTTTTCTTTGTGGAAATATTTTTTTATTATTTATTCAATTTATTTATTATTAATATTTTCTTTTTACTCTTTTTGTACAGGTCTATTCAGATTTCTATTTCTTCTCGAGTTTAAAGTGTCTAATTTGATAGCACACAGTTGTTCATAATAGTTTCATAATCTGTTTAATTTGTAAAGGGCTAGTAGTCATATTTTTCTTTCTTTCCTAACTTTGGTAATTTTTGTCTTCTTTCTTTTCATCTTGGTCATTATAACTAAAGGTTTATCAATTTTAGTTGTCTTTTCCAAGACTGACTTTTGGTCATTGATTTTCCATATTGTTTTTCTGTTGTCTATTTCCTTGATTTCCACTCTGCTTTTTCTTATTTCCTTTCTTCTGGTTACTTTGAGTTGAGTTGTCTTTTTTTTTTCCTAATTTCCTAAGGCTGAAGCTTAGAGAGGCTTGTGACATTTCTGCTTCTAATATAAGCATTTAATGCTGTAAATTCCCCTCTATGTACTGTTGTAAGTGTATTCCACACATTTCGACATACTATGTTTTTGTTTTCATTTGGTTCAAGGCATTATCTAATTTCCTTCATAATTTTTCTTTAAAGTTTGTTATTTAATTTTAAGTATTTGGTGAATTCCCAAATTTCCTTTAATTGTTAATTTCAACTTTAATTCCATTGTGCTCGGAGAAAATACTTGGAATTTTATATTTCTTGAACTTACTGAGACATGTATTATGGCCTAGCATTCGCTCTGTCCTGGAGGATGTTCCATGTGTGTTTGAAAAGAATGTGTGTCTTGTTGTCAATGGTGTGGGATTTTTCATAAATCCCAGGTTGAGCTGACTGATAATGTTTTTAAGTCTTCTAGATCCTTACTGGTTGTCTGTCTTTTCAAAAATCAATTATTTAAAATAGGATATTTATCTCTCTAACTATGATTGGTGAATTGTTTATTTCTCCTTCCAAGTGTGTCAGGTTTTGCTTCATGTATTTTCAGGCTCTGACTGGTTGCATAGGTGTTTATAATTGTATCTTTGTGATGTATTGATTCTATCATTATCATTTTTTTAAATATCTCCCTTTGTCCCTGGTCATATTGCTTGTTTTAAAGTCTATTTTGTCTGATACTAATCTAGCCACTTAGGCTTTCTTATAGTTACTGTTTGCATGGTAGTATACCTTTTTTCATCCTTTTACTTTCAACCTCTATGTGACTTGCGCTCTAAAGTGTATCTTTTGTAGACAAGGCACAGTTAGGTGATCCCTTTACATCCAGGCTGGAAGTGTCTGCCTTTTGGTTGAAGTATTTAGTCCATTTACATTTAATGTAATGACCGATATTATTGGATTTAAATTTGCCATTTTGCTAAATGTCTTCTATATATCTATGTAATTTCTTTCCTCTGTTCTTCTGTTCACGCCTTCTTTTGTGTGAAGGAAGTGCTTTTTGGTGGTATACCATCTTAATTTTTCTCTTGATCTTTATATGTTTAAACTTTTTTCCTAAACAGTTGCTGTAGGGATTACTTCATTTATAACAGTCAACTCAGATTTTACTAACTTAATTCTGGTGAAATATAGCAAGTTCATTTACATATTGCTCCACCGACTCTTGGGCTAATAGTGTCAGATACAGTGCTGCTCATACAATAAAAACCCCAGAATATAGTTATGATTATTGTTTTATACAACCTAGTTTTTAAAAGAGATTGAGAGAAGAAAGGGGGGAAGTATTTTGATGCATTGATTTCTGATGCTCTCCATTTATTCCTATTAAAGTAGCATCTGGTGTCATTTCCTTTCAGCTTGAAAGATTCCTTTAATATCTCATGAAAGGTAAGCCAAATTTTTCTCAGTTTTTGTTTACCTGGGAATGTCTTTGTGTTTTGCCTACATTTTTGAGAGATAGTTTTGTTGCATACAGAATTCATGTCTGAAGGGTTTTTTCTTTGAGCATTTTCTTTCTTTCTTTCTTTTTGAGACAGAGTCTCACTCTGTTGCCCAGGCTAGAGTGAGTGCTGTGGCATCAGCCTAGCTCACAGCAACCTCCAACTCCTGGGCTCAA